GTTATGCAGTTAAATTGCATAGAGGAATTATTGTGCTTTCTTTGAATCTCAGTTGCTATTATTCTTTTGTTTTTTTTTGTTTTGACTGTTAAAAATCTTTGTGAGAAGATTGAACATCATTTCTAAGCTTTAATATATTTTCAGATTCCATTTTTTCAAAATTTGGTTTTAAAGAGTAGTAAAGGCTGTGGTTCTATCGTGCCTGTTGAAAAATTTAATAAGAAAAAAAATTATTTTTGAAAAAACATTTGATGTTTTTTTTTTGGTTATTTTTAGTAACAATTTTGATATTCAGTGCAATCTGTCATTTTAAAAATTTTTTTTGTATGGATGAGTAAAACTAACCAATTAAAGCCTGCTACATTTTTGCTTAAGTCGGAATATTCTGCCAGCTTTGCTTAGATTTTCTTAGTGATTCAGTTAAAGATATACAAATATGCCATCTTGCAGTTTTTTGAAACTTGTTTGCAAATGAAATTTTTCGGCAAAATATATTTTTTTAGTTTTTCTATACGTATTCAATTTTGTATCAGAAAGGATGCAACTTTTCGGTGTGCCTCTGCTTAAACCGTTTTCTGGGGCTAACATCAGCTAAACTTGCTTTCAATACCGTACTGATCTAATATGTTCTGTAATTGTTCCAACCATTGAAAATGGGCAGGAACTTTCACGGTGGAATTAAAAGAAAGTTGAAAAAAGAGGCGCCTATACTGTATGGATATCCCATCATTGATCAAATCTGGCAACAAAATGTTCGGCATAGAAAGCGTTATTAATCCGTATAAATCTTTTTCAGTTGAAAACAGTTTTTGAAATCACGCCGTTTATAATTTTTTTAATTATAAGAACATAAATTTCGAGAAAAACACATTTGTTTTGAAAGGAAAAGTTTTTTCGACTTCGTAATTTTGGGTATGGGGAAATCGATATAATTTTTATCTCAGTTTCTACATCTCATAATGTCTGATTTTTTGGAACTTCAGTTGTTGTGTTAGGAAATTTAACATCACCTTAGTTTCCAAATTTAGTTTTCCTAGTGTGGGATTTTTTCTTAACAACCTACTTTTAGCTGGTCTCGGTCTAAAATAGATGGATCTCGGGTAGTCAGTTGATAGATAAGTTTTGTTCGTTTCATACAAAAATTTTCCGTTATTTTCGGAAATCACAAGTCAACAAAGAATAACGAACTGCCATAACTTTCCGCTTATAGCAGCAGAATTCAAGGTCTTAAAACACGCAGATTGTAAACTATGATGTATCAATGTTAAATCAGCGCGTAAAAAAATAGTGAAAAGTCGTCAATAACTTTCTTAGTTACCGTAAAATCACTATCTTAGTTTTTCTCGATAGTAATTACAGCGAGAACACGAGCTGTTCACGTCTTTTAGGTTTCTATCGCATTTTTTCGGCGCACGCTTCCCCCTCAAAATTAATATAGATTGGCGCCAAAGGCTCCTTTAGAAAAATTTTAGGGTCCGTCAGCGAAAACGGATATCTCAAAATAGTACAAAGGGGGGACCCTTTAGGTCAGCAGGTGGTCGAATCCCTGAAGAAGAAAGCGTCCATACCCACCCCCCCCCCCCTAAATCCACTACTGGCTGTGACAGAGGTTTAATAATCATCCGCAATTTGTGGCCATACTCTGAAGCAATGAGAGGATGGAAATCGACGTCCAATTTTTTAACTGACTTGTGGACTTTTTGTCACTTCGTCACCGCTTTTTTCTCCTCTAGCCATTTTTCTCACCAATTCAAATTACTATGAAACTTGATATTATGCAATGCGGCTCATTTTCGTGCCACCCGTACCCATCCCTACAAAATGAAACCCTTTCCGATAAGCATGGATACATGCGGAGGTTTACAAGGAAAAAAAAAACGAACCGTAACTACAGAACAGCTGAACATGTGATTTTTTCAAAAAAATAACCATCAACAAAAGTTAAAGTTTTGCATTTTAGAGTATGGGACAAGGAAAAGAACCAAATTTTCTTCTTTTTTTAAAGCAACATTCAAAACTTCGCAAAAAAAATTAGATTCCTATGCTCGGGTTAACCTCCATACACCGAAAATGCTTATCATACATTTCCTTACATCCATTGAAAGTGGGGGAAAATGCTTGTCACACAATTTTTATACATTAGTTGAAAAAAGATATAAATTAAAATCTGCGGCTGTTTGATTGGTAAGGAAAAAACAGAAACGCTATACTAACACATAGTTTTTCCATAAGACCTTTTTCAAAAGATATGAAAAAAAATATCGCTCTGTGGAAAACACTTATCATACATGTTTCATGTTTCATTTATGAAAATTGTATGATAAGCTTTATTTTGACCACCAAAGCGCTTCCGTTGAACGATGAACGCTATTACCCCATTCAAAACTTTATGAAAATCATTTTCATAGCGTTTTTGGAAAAAAAAAACGAAAAAAAAATATACTTTTTTCATATATGGCAATTGTATAATAAACATTTTTTTATTTCAAACTGTAAAGTTATTTTCGCAGAACGAAAAAAAATTTCAGCAAAATACACTTTTTACTCACAGAATAATTTTTAAAATTTAGTTTAAAGAATTTCTGAAAACACTATTTAAAATGAAAACAACCTTGCCATACAATTTTTTTCATTAACTTTCCTTACCAATCAAACAGCCGCAGATTTTAGTATATATATTTTTTACAACCAATGGTGTAAATTGTATAAAAATGGTATGACAAGCATTTTTACACTTTTTCAATGGTTGTATGATAAGCATTTCTGGTGTATGGAGGTCAACCCGGGCATAGAAACCTTTTTTTTGAAGTTTGGAATGTTGAATAGGGAAAAAAGCCAAAGAAAAATTCAGTTTTTTTCCTTGTCCACGTTCTACAATGGAAACCCTGACAAGTGTTGATGTTTTTTTTCTGAAAATTATTAGTTTAGCTGTTAGTTTATCTATTTTCATGAATTTTTGTGCAACATGCATTACGGTGAAGATTGAACAAAAAAATTCGTTAACTTTTATTTGTTTGTTCACCATGCTAAATTTCATTCAGTATGACTTTGTTAAAATGATTATTAAAAGGAAGAAAATGAATTGTGGAGGAAGGGGGTAGAAACAAGTCTTGTCTACATTCATACATTCATAGTCTTGTCATTTTTTTGAATTTAAAAATCTAATTACACTTCAATCCAATCAATGTTTCCATCACTTGAGTTATCAGAATCAGTTGAATTGAACTAATAATATTTGCTTCCTGGTTAATAAACATCAGCTCAACTCACATTGTAAACATCAGCTTCCACTGCGAACGGTAGTTCAGTTGCATTGAAGTCAACATCATATCTATATTCTGTAGTGATAACTTCACATTAGAACAAACTAAAACAGCTAACAGATGTCAGATAAGAAACATCCATGAAAAATAACTGATGTCCATTGAGCGCGTTTCAAGAATTTTTTGCACAAAGCAACCCCACCTCGGTCGCCGATATGATGAACGGGATCCACGGATACACATGATCGAAGATCTGAGAAGCGCAAATCCAAGACGACATTAAGCCCACCAAAGCACTTGACTATATGAGGTTAATTCTTTTTTCTCACTGTTCATCGAAGTAAGTCTTTTGTAAAAAGTGGTAGCAATTTTGCTCATACCACCCGTGCTTGAAAAAACAAGAGATGTGAATGAACTATGTTCAACTTCTCTGATACGTTGCTCATAGCATCTCTTTTTTCCACTTCGTGCTTTCTGTACACACTTGGTTGAATACCAGAATTTGATTTTGTACAAGGACTGATTACTCTTACATCAATGAACGCTTTTTCTCAAATTTGTTTCCCCAGACATCATTGGCTGAAATATCAAGACGCCCTTTCAAGATGCCATTAATTGATGTTCGCAAAGCCATAAACTCGCCAGATAATCGCTCTAATTGAAGTTCGACTTCAACATTTGGGCAAATTTTAGTCAACTTGTCTGCTGTTATGTCTCTGACTTCATTATGCCGAATAGTTGAGAAGGACAAGACAAGCATTGCTCAACCGAGAACGTTTTTCCTCAAACACCGTGAGAAGGGACATCTTCAAGCGGCCAATTATATTGCTAGCACAATGCATCCAGAAACGCTGCTTTAATCAGGAAAAAAGCATGTTCTTCTAATGGCAACAATCTGAGGCAGTTTGATGTGCCTTTTTCGTTGGCCAGTTTAAATGCTCTTGAGTATGGAATACTGACAACCGATTGCAACACAACATCTTTCTTTCTTTCGGCGCGCCGCTCGTTTTCCTTTCAAATTTCAATAGATGCTCGTTTCTGCCTACTAGGAACTCCGTCTAAATCACTATCGCCTGACCAAAGTCTCTAATCAATCATATTAGTACTGAGTGAAATTATGGTAATTTTTAGTTTACAGCAATGCAACTGATGTAGAAGAGTGTAAAGAATCAACTAACAATTGTTAATGCGTTTGAACACGAATTATTAGCATGGGGCATCTTCCACCATTTTGTCCACAACCAACTACTAATTTGTTTCTAATACGACTTTGTAAAGATTGAAAAACTGATATAAAAACTGAATTGAATTGTGGGAATGAGCGTGACGATTATTTTTGAGCTAGTTGTTTAACTCTAAACCATTCCGAGACTTTTTAGCGCCAGTA